GGCAAAATACCAAAGTCTAAGTAGCAGAATAAGAGTTTTTGGCCAACGAAGTACATATATATAAATTATTTTAACCAATTTATCTTTAAAAAATATCTTTAAACAAAATTTATTATTAAATTTATAAATTCTATATTTATTTTCGAGTTTTTTTGGCCGGTCCGAGCCTAATCGGATTAAAGCCTAAAAACTTAATAGCCCGAGTGAATTTAGCCCGAAAGACTCGAATTTTTTTCCTTATATATTCAGATCCAAACCTAGTATTTTTAAGGAATGTGCCGGGTCGGATTTCGGGATTTGATCCTAATTGACATGCCTAGTTATATATTAGGTTGGAAACTTAACCTACTTGCATTGTTTATAGGCAATAAAACCGACACATCATCGGTCACTTCTAATGCTTACATGGTCAACGTTGGGGGTAGAATAGACACTGTTTTTAGTCAATTGGTTAGTGACTTAAATATTTTTTTTTTATCGTAGCTATATTCTTCGTTTCTTGTTCCATTATAGTTATATGGCAAATTCACCCATAAATAAAGAACCAAAATATTATTGGCGTATTAAATAGAGTTTTTTTCTTCTTTTTAGCAGTGAATTTTTTTTTTTTATGATAAGTCATCAGAGTTCCGAACATTTGGTTCATAATGTTTTCGGTATTCGGAGTCGGCCTTTAAATATTTTCTTTTGTGGAAGACGTGCGGATGAGTTGCGATGGAAAATGGATCGGAAATCTTTTAAGAATTTATTAATTTTTATCACAAAAATGATAGCCAAACGATCATATCAAGAAGGAAGACAAAAAAGGTGAATAACAGTATGATAATTTCTTGGGGCAATTACAAAAATGCCACTTTTTGTGTGCATATTTGCAAGAATGCCACTTAGTGGTTTCCATTTACAAAAATGCCACTAATTATAAATTTATAAAGTCTATATCTTAAAATTCTAAACCCTAAAAAATATTTTGACACCTAAAACCCCTTAAACACTCAAAACTAAACCCT